TTACCAAGTGGTCAGAATTTGAACAAATTTGAATTTACACAACATGAGGATGTTTCCACATATCTAACTTTCATCTTTCCTGGCCCAGTGGTTTTGGAGAAGATTTTTCCTATGTATTCCTAGGTAAAATTTTGATCATCCATACCCATATCGAAAATGAATACAAAAATAATACAAGAAAAAAATACTAAAATAATACAAAAAAAGTATATTTTTAATGACCAAATTTGGAACCCTCTAAATCTTGGTTCCAATTTAGGTCAAAAATAATAGACTTTTTAAAAGCCAAACACAGAAAAATATATTTTTAATATACTTTATTTTTTCGAAATAATACAGAAATGATACACACGACCTGTAAAAACGTATTGTTTTTGTACTTTTGTATTATTTCTCTATTTTCCTCTCCAAAGTATAAAAATAATACAGTCCATAGAAAAGTATAGAAAAAATACAGAATGTATTAATTTTGTATTAGCATATATTATTTTTGTATTTTTTCACCTTTAAGAATTAAAATACAAAAAAAATATAGAATATATTAATTTTGTATCACATATATTATTTTTGTATTTTTTCATGTGGAACAATTAAAAGAACAAAAAAGATATAAAATATGAAAATAATACAGTACACAAAAAAGTATGAAAAAAGTATAGAATGTATTAATTTTGTATTAATATGTATTGTTTTTGTATTTTTATCAGCATGAAGGATTGTACTTCAAAAATATCAAAAAAGTACAAGAATGATAGACAAAAAATACATTTAAATGCTTAAAATAATACAAAACAGAGTTTTAAAAACTACAAAAATGATCATGGGCAAAAATTGTTATTTGAAGAAAAGGAGCTGGAGATTGAGGTTCTTAATAGCATCTATTGATTGTTATTCAAAAATCTTTTATTTATTTGAAATATTTGTTAAATAACAATTTTAGTAACTCAGTCAGATTTCCTTAAATGTACAAATAGCTAATTAAAAAGTAATTAATGTGGCCAGGCTACTGATTCAGCTACCAATTGTAGTCTTGATCTTTCTTTTTACATATAATCCGCTCTTCAATAGTCTTGATAATTTTCACAAGTTTAACTAATCCTGTTTTCTTTGTACTTTTACCAAATGTTTCGATCTTCCCTCTGCTTTGCTGTTTCTTTTGTATGGAAAAGGTAGAGGAGTGTTTACTTTGTTGCAGAAGTCCATCTTCAAATCACACAACCTGTCATCTCATCTGACTTCATCACTGTGAAATATAGAACAGAATGATATAATAATAAAATTTAATGAACCATTACCTCAACAAAACACACATTTTCACATCCAAAATAATTCTATATAGATTTTGTTTAGCTCACACACCTGCAATACTTTCTTGAGAGGGATCTTCTTCCTCCATGTCTAATCAGCTTTTCTTCAATGTTCTGCTGACTAAAATTAACAATAATTATAAATTGAAATTCCAAAAGATCCAGCGGAGTTCACCAAATTCCATACAATTGTACCATTGAAATTACTTTTCTTTAATCTGGGGTTTCTTAGGGGACAACCATTTGATTTGACAATCTGGAGAAGAAAAAGGGGGGGGGGGCTGATTTATAAAATATTTTTAAAAAAATATTTGTAATAAACAATCTGTCCTTGAAAATGTTGAAAGAGTAAACAAAATGTGTGCCCCAATGTTATTCAAATAAACTGCCCCCCCCCCCCCGAACCCAACCTACCCCCCCTCGAAAAAATTTGAGTTTATACAAATTACAGAATTGTTTTTGAAGGGAAAATAAATAATTCGTCTCTGGTAAACTTGAAAAAATTGGAATGAATTAGAACTAGGAAGCCAAAGCCTTGACAATTATCCCCATCTTCCACCCCTCCCTCCCCAATCAGAATTTATCACAAAAACCCTTGTTCCCCACATGGCCAATAACCGTACTATTTTATCTTTCTACAATACTACAAAATGGGTAAAAAGGCATTCTTTGTTCCTCTATCTTTGTACTAAGTTATTATTTAAAAAACTGAAACTTTAATGTGCTAAAATATACATAATCTTACCGCAACTAGTGTTGTTTACACCAGAAAAGTCCGGATATGATGCCTAAAAACGTCAGTCTCCTTATGTATTTGCTTTCCTTGGTTCATATATATGATCCTGTGTACCATGATTATGCTGAACTTCTGTTTTTCGATCCATTTTACTAGCGAGCAAATGAGAGTTTATTCAAAATCACCCCCAGCTTTCTCAACACATCCCGGGAAGAATTTTCAAAATGGCGTGGGTGAAATATTGTTGACCAATCAAAGAACAGTACGGAAGAGTTTTAAAATCTGACCAATCATATTGTGTCATATATACGAAAATTACCGATGTTGAGATCGGAACAGTTAGAGAAAACATATTTACATGGTTTTAAATATCTTGAATCAATTGAACAAACCTAAAATTATGTTAGAAAAAAACGATGTTCAATTTAATCATCAGAATCATTTTTTTATTCCTTACGGAATTTACCGATTACGAAACATCGTTATTTCCGGTCATCATTTCCGCTGAGAGCAGCCATTTTTATATTCAAGTTGACCTGTGAAGTAGACCATAAAGTTCAAATATAATGATCAAAACGAGCGGGAGATCCATAATATATAGCCTTTTTGACGGACAACTTAACTCATACATACGGTACCAGAGATTGAAATAATGTTTAACATCTATCCTTTACACCAATTTCACAACATTTTCTATATTATTTTATGATATTCTTTCGTAATAATTTCTTATTTAATTTTTTTTTTTTAAAGCGGATAATTAAATAGTTCTATTCCATGTAATTGTAATACGTACTGAATTAAATATAATGTATACTAAATTGAGTTGTATAGTCAAGAAAACATCGTAGGTACTGTAATTAGTGCACAGTGGAACTCTCCATGTTGTTTGTTTTTGTTTTTTGTTTTGGTTGGGATGTGTTTTCACAGGTAAATCATGTTATTTCTTTGAGTAGTATAACATGTACTCGTCTATTGTTAACCTGCAGGTGGCCACCTGTGCTGTTGGCGATAGTTGTAAACACTCGGTTGTAAACACGCTGTAAAATTTTCAACACAAAAAGAAAGTCTGAAACTCTGAAACTTCAAAATTTACGGCGAGTTTACAAGTATCATGTACAGCACATGTGTCCCCTTAGACGTATCTATCTCTTTCCAAATGACAATTTCACACCTAGTAAAGACATGTTTTAAAAATGAAATTGTTTAGTTAACAAATTTAAACTACTGAAGTTTTCTGTTCTAAATAGCAATTAAATGTAAATAGTATAAAAGCAACCTTTATAGCAGTGGTCTTAATTAATAAAATCTGAGAAAAAAATATTAATTCCAACAGACTTATTGCAAGGACATTCTGTAAATTTTCCTATGTTCAAAGAAATACAAATTTCAGTAAAAGAAAACACTAAGTCCAAAATAAATATAAAAAAATACATGCTGACTGTATAGTATTTTTTGAAAAATTATTAAGTCCAAATTTAATACAAAAATAATACAGACTAACTGTATGTAATTTTCTGTAAAATTACTAAGTTCAATTTTAATACAAAAATAATACAGATTAACTGTATGTAATTTTCTGTAAAATTACTAAGTTCAATTTTAATACAGAAAAAATACACTTGAAAAAAACTAAGTCCACAAAAATACAAAAATGATATACTGAAAATAATCTAAGTCCCAAAAAATACAAAAATAATACCCTGTAAAAAATCAAAGTCAGATTTTAATACAAAAATAATCTACCTATTTGTTGGTGATACAAAAATAATATATTTTTTCTGTATTAATTTTAAACAATACGAAAATGATTGTATTAAAAATATATTAAAAATATACTTTTATGTATTATTTTTTGATATGGGTTGTTGCTCCGCCCTACCCCAGAGGGTCATGATTTGAACAAACCTGAATCTACACTACCTGAGGATTCTTCCATATAAAAATGACCAATCATGGCTTTGCTGTTCTTGAGACGAAGATTTTTAAATATTTTTCCTATGTATTCCTATGTAAATCTTTGATCGTTCATTGTAGCCCACCCTACCCCTGAGAGTCAAGATTTGAACAAATCTGAATCTACACTACCTGAGGATGCTTCTTTATAAATATGACCAATCATGGCTTTGCTGTTCTTGAGAAGAATTTTTTTAAAGATTTTTCCTATGTATTTCTATGTAAATCTTTGACTGTCCATTGTGGCCCCCGCCCTACCCCAGGAGTCATGATATGAACAAATTTGAATCTACACTACCTGAGGATGTGTCCAAGTAAGTTTCATCTTTCCAGGCTCAGTGGTTCTGGAGAAGAGGACTTTTAAAGTTTTTTCCCTTATGTATTTTTATGTAAAACTCTGATAGTCCATTGCAGCCCTGCCCTACCCCTGGGGGTCATGATTTGAACAAATTTGAATCTACACTACTTGAGGATGTTTCAAATCCATATAAGTTTCATCTTTCCTGGACCAGTGGTTCTTGACAAGAAGTCAAAAATGTTAAAAGTTTACAGGCAGGCAGACAGACAGATGGACAGCTAGACAGACGGACAACAAACAAAATGTCATCAGAAAAGCTCACTTGAGCTTTCAGCTCAGGTGAGCTAAAAATGATTTGTTTGATGTACTCCGACAGACCTAACAAAAGTGCCACTACCTTTTTTTGTTTCTGGAAAAATACAGATTATCAGTATCATTTTTTAAGTTAAACAATTTCCCCATGACCCTTTTAGATTGAAAGTAGCAATAAATATTAAATTTGTCTAGTCAGATGTATACTGAAACATACATATATTTCAAAGTCTATTTTTTTATGATGTTTATCATTGTGTTGGATCTAGATATTTTCAAAAAAAAAAAACCTACCAACCAACCTATCCTTCTTAAAAAATGAGGATTGGAGTATAGCAAACAAAAAAAATTTTAATGATGGCCTGGGTATATTTCAAATTAATCAACTTACCTTTCTAAATCCCCGAGAAAAAGTTAAGAAAACAGCATCTTTAAAATTTCATCTGCAAGAATATAAACCATTTGGTATTGTAGTTAATATTAAATTGGTATGATAGTAACTCACACAGTAAATTCGATATGGAAGATAACCATTTTGATTAAACATGTATAATTCAATTATAATAATAGTATGTTAATTGGCTTACTGAACTTCAAACCCACCTTCCAATTTATTAATCAATGCTATACATTTAAATGATTTACTTAAATACCAAACCAAGAAAGTAAACAAAAAGATTACTTCACAAAGCATTCACCCCAAATAAATCTATAATAGTAATTAAACTTTCAGCTTACATTTTAATGCCACATACCTTGATCTTACTCTACAACTTTTAAACCTTCTGCACATTCCTTTACATTCATTCAGGGGTAGATCACTGCAGTTTCACAATTTTGCTTTAATCCTGTGTCCATACCGGTTTTTCTTATCTTCACAAAGTCTCTTTGGTAAAATAAAGTATATGGTATTCAATCCATGTATAGATCTAACTTGCAAATTTACACCACAGATTACCAATATAATCAATTACTTTATTTACCGTGTGTTTAACATTTGCACTTTAAAGAAATCTTGTTTCTTTCAAAGCAGGGTGTATCCGATTTCTGAGTTCACTTAAAGATTTGCAAAATGTCTATCTTTCCATCATTCCTCTTTTTTAATTCGCCAGGTAACATCAATATACTAGTATACTGTCAAAATATAATGCTGGAAACTTTAAATCCATGTTTATTTTGGATTGTTTGGCATGCTAAAATGTTGGAATTAAACCTAACTGGCAGTCAATAAAAGCCAGCTACCTGAACCCGTTCAATGGATTAATAACTCAATGTAATAAATCTAGTCCCCAATTTAAAACTCCATAGTAATTCACATACAGAAGCATGCTTTCGTATAACCAAATGATACCCTTATATGTACCTTCATTATTTACATTACAGCAATCCTTATTTCATATTACACCTTTAAAAAGATGTTAAAAGCTGACTTGAGAAATCAAAGATTCACACCTTTTTTATAAGCTAAATCAAACCTCATCTCTAACTGGAAATCTAAAATGAATAAAAACCAGAAGTCTCTGATGAGACTGTAGCTCTACTGGTCTGTTTGTATAACAAAAGAAAAGTAGCACTTGGATTTGAAACATTGCAACATGCAACAATAAATAGAATTATGTATCTTAATGTAGTCTACTTTTGTGACAAGTTATATTGAAATCAAATGAAAACTAGGAGTAGTAGCGTTTTGAAAGTATTTCACGGAAATTTCTATTTTTAGTACCGGTAACAATGACAACACCATTCACCCAAATAAAAAAAAACAGAAATACATATTATGTATCGTAGTGTATTCTAACTGTGTGCCAAATTAGATTGAAATCAGACCAAAATTGTAGGAGGAGTAACGTTTTAAAGGAATTTCACAGAAATTTCTATTTTAAGTAACCATGGCAACACTGTTTATCGAATTCAAAAACCAATGCAATAAATTATGTATCTTAGTATAGTCTTCTTGTATGCCTAATTATATTAGAAGCAGACTAAAACTGTAGGAGGAGTAGTGTTGTAAAGGAATTTCACAGAAATTTCTATTTTTAGTAACCATGGCAACACCGTCCATCGAAATCAAAAACCGATGCACTAAATTATGTATCTTAGTGTAGTCTACTTGTGTGCCAAGTTATATTGAAATCGGACCAAAACTGTAGGAGGAGTAGCGTTTTAAAGGAATTTCACAGAAATTTCTATTTTTAGTAACCATGGCAACACCATCAATCAAAATCAAAAACCGATGCACTAAATTATGTATCTTAGTGTAGTCTACTTGTGTGCCAAGTTATATTGAAATCGGACCAAAACTGTAGGAGGAGTAGCGTTTTAAAGGAATTTCACAGAAATTTCTATTTTTAGTAACCATGGCAACACCGTCCATGGAAATCAAAAACCGATGCACTAAATTATGTATCTTAGTGTAGTCTACTTGTGTGCCAAGTTATATTGAAATCGGACCAAAACTGTAGGAGGAGTAGCGTTTTAAAGGAATTTCACAGAAATTTCTATTTTTAGTAACCATGGCAACACCGTCCATGGAAATCAAAAACCGATGCACTAAATTATGTATCTTAGTGTAGTCTACTTGTGTGCCAAGTTATATTGAAATCGGACCAAAACTGTAGGAGGAGTAGCGTTTTAAAGGAATTTCACAGAAATTTCTATTTTTAGTAACCATGGCAACACCGTCCATCGAAATCAAAAACCGATGCACTAAATTATGTATCTTAGTGTAGTCTACTTGTGTGCCAAGTTATATTGAAATCGGACCAAAACTGTAGGAGGAGTAGCGTTTTGAAAAATTGTTTACAGACAGACGGACAGACAGGCAGACAGACAGACAGACGGACGGACGACGGACACCTTACTATCGCATAAGCTCTTCTGGTCTCTGACCAGTAGAGCTAAAAAAAAATTGAAAAGGCATAACTACATTTATCACTTTGTTTGAAATAACTCTGATCAAGACATATACTGTGAACTGTTCCTACCTTCCAGTTTGGAATTCTCAAGTTGCCCAAGCAATACTTCATTCTTCTCTTTTCCACCTTATTTTCTTTATGATTTTTACAATGTACTCATGTTTCAATTTATTTTTTTTTCCAGAAATAAGGCACCATATTAAAACTTTTATTGGGATGGTCATGCCCAAAAGGCTTTATAGTACTGTAGATTTGATCACGTACATGCAACCCATATTTACATCCCCATAAGTGCTTAAAAATGATTTCTTATTACATGTACTTATATTTACGTTTGTGACTGATTTAAAACAAATATTTGCATAATATAGTTTTGAACCAATGAAATGAATGTGTTGAACATGTACGTTGATCACTTATGAAGTCACTGTGAAATTACTTTGTTTGTTTACCGGTATGTTGAAACAATGAATATGATCATATGACGAACCTGTTTTTATCTCAAACATGTGGTACCCAGAATATAAACCTATGCTTTTTACAAGGGTATGGTACATAAATAGCACTTCTGGGTTTTGGCACAATCCCTTGCTTCAAGATGTAGATTAAATGAAACTTATATTAGTGATATATATATATATAGAGAGAGAGAGAGAGAGAGAGAATTAATGGCTATTTTATCACACTTATTTCTTGTGAGGGGAGTTCAAAAATTACAGTCATGGACTTGCTGCACAGACAAAATAATTGATAACATAATCAAGCAAAAAGCAAAAAGTCGCCCAAAATAAAAAAGAATCTCTACTTATGTGGTCAACAATTCATATCAAAATGTAAATTAAAATCAAATTTCGGGTGATGGCTCAACCATTTCATGAAGTCACAGTGCAGTAAAATCTTAGACAACTTAGACATCATGGGAATATTGTTAAAAAAAACTTGTTTCTTATTTTCTCAACAATTTTCCTAGATGTTTGATTCACAGTTTGGGTTACTTATTAATCCACACAGCAAAAACATCCATTTATAATCATGTTACAGTTATTTCTGATCCAGCTTGAAAACTTTAAACTAGTATATTATTTCTAAGTTTGTTTTTATACTCCAAAACTGCACGAGCATTAAAATTATTATTTTGTACTTCCTTTCCATGAATCATACGATATTGTGCATGCTAATTTGTTGGTCTTTACACTTTTTCCATTATGCATTACATAACTCCCTGCTCAGTGCATAATGGAAAAATAATCATACGTGTACATAATTTTTTTTCAAGTCCAATGAAGACGCTGGTAACTGACACATACATGGATATTAAATGTATACAAACGACATAAGGTTGTTGTTGGTTGATGGTTGCTGTTGTTTGATGGTTGTTGTTGGTTGGTCGTTCAGGGTTCCTTTGTATTGATACACATCGTGTTGCTGTCTGCATCCAGTAATTATGTACTGTCCCCTTATTCTGCAAAAATCGTCTCTATATAATGCCAAACCAAACCTGGCACACAAAGCAACGTGCATGCTTTTATTTCCCGCGAAATTGAGCAGATGATGCAACTTGAGAAGAACCAATCAAAACTGGCCGTACATCATACTCGCAATCACTCTCTACCATCGGCTCATACATTCTGAGAGAGAAGCGAACGACAACTCTGCAAGGGAGATTGACTCGCAATAAGGTACCTGTAAACTCCGAAAAGACGAAAAGAAATCGAAACGAAATGAAAAGAAAAACAAAAAAGAAACAGAAAGTAATCAAAAAGAGGGGGGGCGAAAGAAAAAAAAAGATGTTACACAGGCCCGTAGGAAGCAAATTCACTTTGAGGGGGCACAACCATACATTTTCGGGGGGGGGGGCTATCAACTACCAAAATTCCTTGACAAGCAAAAAAAAAAAGGTCATCAGAGGTTATTATTGAGGGGGCACAAGCATATAGTAGCTATGTTTTCTTGTTTTCTATAGTATTCTATATATCGGAAAAATTATTGGGGACACGCCCCCCCCCCTTGTCCCCCGGTTCCTTCGGCCATGTTACATATACATACACGTAAAGTACTGAATCGAAATTAAAAGATGGATATAATTAATCAATATATTATTGGTTTTATGGGTAATTTAAAAACACTTATGAAATAATGTGTACATTGGAAGTAAATAGTTTGCGGAGGAGGAGATAGACGCTGATAATTTTTGATTAGCCTATTTTTAAAAAAAACTTTTTGATTACCGATTGCAACCATTAATGTGCAGAAAAAATTCTATAAACCGCTAACGCGGGTTAAGAAATGTTTTCTGCCGTGGTTACAACCGTTAATTCCTACATCTGCAAAGAAAGCATTTTTTGTTCAAGAAAACTTTATTTTTGTTGTTGTCGTAACCTAACCCCTTGAGGAGGGGGGGGGGGCATAATATTCAAATGTAAAACTTTGATCCATATCGTGGTCAACAGTACACCTGGAGGACTATGATTAAAACAATAATGAATCCAAACTAGCTATGTGAGAATTTTCTGGCCCAGGTCTTTTTTTTCGGGGGGGGGGGGGTAAATACTCCCCAATCACTTTTGTCTTTGTTTATTTAACTACCTAGGACTTTGAAAGAGTATAATACTATGAACTACAATGTATTTTGAATCCTTTACCCAAAGAATGCTTTGTGCAAACTTCACTTTGGTTGAAATAGTCCCAGGGGTTTTTTCTTTCAAATTATGTACCCTGGTTTTAGGTAGGTCTAACATCATATTTAAACATAGGACATAATGCATGAAATGTATACAGAAAAGAAATACACTAAATACACTGTATTTTCCAGAACAGTCAGACCATGTTTGTCATATTAATAAAAAAGCATCTCCGTGTTTTTGGTTGATTCAAATTTGGTTAAGTCATGGCTCCGTAGCGCTAGAATAGGACAACGTACAGTACTGGGTTAAAACTTTTCTTGTGAATAAAGATGGGAAAATCAATTAAAAACCTCCTCCTCAGTCCTGAAGAATAACAGTGCCAAGGTGAATCAGGTGAGCGTTGTACGGTCAATAGGCCTCTTCTTCCATCATTACCAGAGACATACTGAAGTTTGTTAACATTCATTTACATGATAATATTTACATGATAATATTCAAAATCTTTATATGATAAACAATTCTTAGCTCTCTGATTGGCTGAGATCCAACATTGTATCTCAGACTTAGTTCACCTGCATGAGACTTCACATGTGAACATAACATTTTTTTCTTCACATGGGACTAAAAATGGATCGAGGACTTCCAAATTAACACAATTAATTATGAAAAGTTATTTTCACTTGCATCCAACCTTCAAGGTGAACATATCTTTTGTTTCCTACATTGGACTAAAAATAGATCAAGAACTTCCAAATTCATATTGACTTTGAGATCCAAAGGTCAAGGTCATAAATTCACTACATTCTGTCTAACACTTTCGTTTCCAGACGACATATTAAACAGCTCCCGTGTTTTTGGCTTTTAGCAATGAAATTTTATATCAAAGCTCCTTATGGTCTAAAGGTTAAAGGTAAAGGTCATAAACTCATACATTGCAAATAAAAGAATTTTCCAGATGATAAATTTAGTTTTCTTTGAGCTTTTCTCAACAAAGTTTAATATCACAACTCCCTATGGCCTGAAGAGACCACAATTGTTTTTGAATTGAAAACCTTAAAGGTCAGAAATCCATACATTCTGTGTATAATACTCCGTTTCCGGACGATTTCTAAAAAGCCTTTTACATTTTGATATGAAATTTTAATTCACAACTCATTATCATGGCCTAAAAATCACAACTCATTTTGGCCTAAAGAAGGCCCATATTGATTTTGAGGTCAAAAAATTCAAAGGTCATATATTGCAAAAAATACTTTCCAGGTGATAAACATTAGTTCTCTTTGTGCTGTTCCAATGAAGTAACAGGGTTCTCCATGAGCTGTTTACTGTGTCGGCCCCGACACAGTAAATTCCTTCGATCGACACAAACAAAAAAATTTATGCGTGTGCTACAGTAAAAATTTTGCGACACAGCAAGAACGACGATCAGAAAATCAGAACTAAAATTTTCTCTAACTGAAAGTTTAATCAAACAAATCTTCCGTCTTTCAATTAACTTTTAATGCAGAGCACTGTCTTAATTAGGGCACCTAGCTTTACCTTGTATTATGAATTATCTCCCTCGATGGACTTTACACATTAAGGAACAAAGACATTTATTTTCACACTTCCATGTAATCGTATAATTGCTTTGTGCATTTGTTAATATTATATAAATACTTAAAAATTAATTAAATGTGTGCCTTTACTGTAGAACCACGTCTCTAGAATTATGTTGGCACTGTGAGTCCATTTATTGATGTATTGTTTAATAATTAAAGGAACCCGTAATTGTATTTTACTGCTCTAAAGTTTCTATTTTAAATACAAAAACTTACCGTTAATTCAATCAACTGACAAAAATCATGGCAAATTTACTTTTAAAGATGGTAGGTAGTTCGATTGTATTGATCAGAATTTCCTTTGCTCTTCAATGCATCTTTTATAAAACATTAAGTTACATGTATGTATGTACATAAAAATATCAGGGTTTTATACTTACAACATGTAGATACTGATACAATTAAGTATATAAGTTTTTTTTTATCGTACAAATCGAACAAATGTTGTTCTTTTAAGTTGTGTGTGTCTGTGTGTGTGTGTGGGGGGGGGGGGGGAGGGGGATTACAAATCGTTTGTGTTATAGTATGTACATTATTATATATTGGAGACATTCTAATTGTTTTCAATATCCATTAATTCATTCTTTTATTGATATGCAATATCATACCATATGTGTATCGAATAAGTGATTTTAAAAAGTTGTGTGTGCGTATTTACTTTTGTAATTATAACGAATAGTGGTTCCGTTGCGAATTCTCTTAGATCGCAAAAATACCGCGAATATTAACACTTTGCGAAAAGTCTGCGACACAGTAAAATTTCAAATGATGGAGAACCCTGAGTTAATTCCTAGTTATTTGAAGAAGACCCGTTTGGTTTTTAGGTCAAAAGGTCAAGGTCAGAAATCCATACAATCCCCCCCCCCAAAAAAAATGTTTTCCAGATGATAACTTTAGTTTTCCTTGAGCTTTTTCTATGAAATTTTACAATTACTCCCAATGACTTAAAGAAGACCACTTTTTGATTTTTAGGTCAAAAGGTCGTCAAAAATTCATATCTTGCATAAAATATTTTCCTGGTGATTACTCTAGTATCTTTTCAAGGATTTGCAATTAATGAAATTTTTAACATTTATTCAATATGACGTAAAAGGGATTCCTACTGATTTTGAGGTCAGAAAAATTAATTTATATATTGCATACATACTCGTACATTTCAGGTAACAATTTCTGTTCTCTGTAACCTTTTGCAATGTAACTCAAGGTCATGAATTTAACTAAAAACAAAAGCAACAAAGTCACTTTAGGTAGCTACATTTTTGTAAATAAAAGTTTCATCATAGAAAAAAAATTGCACCATGATAAGAATACAGAGAAAATATCGCTAAACACTTCCTTGTAAATCGTGAATTGAGCAATGTCTAATTCTCTTTAAGATACAGTGTGTAATAAGACCAGGGTTCTGGTATATATAGAAGTCCCGGATATTTCGCACGAAGTGCTTCATCGTTCCACAAATACATCACCCACAGCAACACTAATGCTAAGGTGAGAGCAAAGGAGTACAAGAGGAATAGTCCGTTAATATCAAGCTGGGAGTTTCGTGTAGTTTTCTTATAGACCATGTATCCCAGCATGAAGACGAATGTTATGAAATATACAGTAAATATCTGTCCTTCTGTCACCAAATACCTGAAAAGAAAATGAATGTTAATCACTCTAAAACGAAGTCAATCTGAAGAGGGTATCGACCACATCTTTATAATTGAGTTAAAATGGAGGGCATTTCATTTAGTTAGATTAAACTGAAAAATAACGAATATAACGAACATTGGCCAATCTCCAAAAAAAAAAAAAAGAAAAAAGAAAAAGAAAAATGCAAACAATACAAAACTGTGAAGTGGTCATGAATCAAGAACCCCCCGGAAATCACAGAGGTGGAATCAGGTGCCTAGGAGGAGTAAGCATCCCCTGATGACTGGTCACACCAGCCGTGAGCCCTATGTACCGGTATTGATCAGGTAGACGGTATTGTGCGTAAAGACAAAAGCCTAACAGTTGGTATGAAATATTTCAGTCAAAATACGACCCAAGTTATATTTGCTTACAAGGTTATTATAACGACCATCATTGTCGGAAACCCACATTCGGCCTCGCCTGATCGTGGGTTTCCGACGATAAACGACCATAGAATTTACGAAACCCTGACTTTAAACGAGGTTGTTAAAAGTCTTGTAAGATCAGCTTTTTATCTGTCACTAGCCTGTCTAAGTTTGAGAAGCAAGGGACGTTATGCAAAAAATAAATAAATAAATAAATAAATAAAACAAACAGACAATTTAAGATTTGATCGTACTCAAAGCATGCTTTTGAGTATCAAGTTGGGAGAAATATACAACATATGCAGGTGACAGCAGGTGACAGCGGTATAATACTACATAAATAAGGAAAGCTGACGATGGAAAAGCTGAAGTCATCTTGTTTGTCATACGATTTAGTTGTTAGTTGGCCCTTATCGTCTATAGTCAGTAAAACACCAAGTATGAAACAGATGTGGCAGACTCTGGAGTGTCTTTAATTTCGAGTTCATTGGGGTGTATCGAGTCGACATATGAATGGTTGTAACTATTGTTAATTGATAAAATGTCATCGGTATACATGTACATGTATCTGAATCTCGAGTGGAAGGTCACAGCAAGAGTTTTCTTCTTCTCATGAAGAAATTTTTAAATGAATTCTGCTTCATTGGAATATAAGAATAGGTCGACAGATTTAGGAGCACAATTAGAGCCCATTCGAATTCCAACAGTTTGTAGGAAGACTTGGTCTCCGAAGACTACGTAATGTTGTCAATGAGGAACTCCAGCATCCCTTTTTTTAAATATCAACTTTTAAAAGAGTACGTGTGTGTAGAATCACAGTGATTTTTAACTAAGTAATTTTGTAGATGACCAATTACTAGCTGCAGAACTGTAGCGTTATGGTGTTATATTTAGTCTTGACCATAACGCTACAGATCCCGTAATATAAATAAAGTGCAATTTACGGCGCAAGATTTTCTGCGCTCTTTGGGGATAAATTTCGCCACTTTCCAGCATTGGTCAATCAACGACCCTTTTTTCACATAATTTTAAACATATTCTATAACCAACCAGAATAATTATTTTCACCACCTTCTTACCCATTATTGTCGTCTCTACAGACCAATAAACTCGCTTGTTGCGAATTTGTTGTCGGATGGCATAACGAGTGTCTAGATGGACCATAGTTGAAAGAAGATGAAGAGCAATAACACCTAAGAAGATTTATTTTAGATGTCTAGGCACTTAAAAGTTTGTTTTTACCGTAAAAGCAGAAATTTTTAGCGGGGATTCAATTTTGGCATTTTTCGCGAGGGTGTTGAGATCGCTAAAATTGAATATCGCTAACAATTCATTCCCACGTCGAAGGTTACTGTAATCTTTCTATCCATTATAAAATCGCTAAAATTATTTCTCCCTTGGAGATATCGCTAAATTTGCGTCTCACTAAAACATTCCACTTTTATACGGTAATTGAAAAGTTTGGAAGCAACAGTTTGGGAATATCTGTAGGAAATGCAGGGTGTAGAAATATGGTAGAATGCAAGACTGAACTTTTTTTAGATTAAGAATGTTACTAATGTTTACAGCATCTATTCCTTTGTTGGCAAATTTAAGTTTAAGGGACAGATAGGTTGAATCGGAATTATAATCTTTTTCTGAATATAAAAGTGCGAATGTTCGAATTGCTGCAAAAAATATTAAGTTTTCTTCTATGTGCGCAATTAAAAGCACGGAATATTTCAACAAAACGCCAGAAATATATGTGTTCCTAACTTTTTTGCACTGAGAATATCCGAATAGCCGATCCTCAAATATAGCATTAGCATTAGCGAGGTCAACCATAATACTAGTACTTCAAGTTTTGAGTACAAGCTTACATGTAGCTTTCAATCCACTACATATTGTTCCCGTCTTCCTTGAGTTGAAATATTTTACAGACTTCGGACTATGCACTTCCTCTCTTTTGTGATTGGTAGAAAATGCGTGATATGAAATTTTTCAAAAATTTCATCGGTTGAAATGCTGTTAAAGGCAAGGGAGATGATTTTCTGGTAGTCTAATTTTCTCACGACGAAACAATTTTTCAAGATTTTTCTATCTTAAAAAATGTCAAAACGAACAAAAGAAAATTGCGAACTGCCGGAAAGACCCTCGGGAGAAGATGCGATTTGGCTTGTTCAAATCAGAGTTGCCAAAGATTAGTATTACATTTTGTGACAGCCCTCTTTTAACCAGTTTTTAATTTTGTAAATACATGTAGAGGACACTCCCTGCGCACCTATGTCCCTTTAAAAATCAACAAGTGCGATGACGCTCACAAGACCCTGCACTTTTAAGGAAGGAAAAGAAGTTTCTGTAAAAAGCTGATGAAGAAACGCATTGCCAGGAGATACGCCTGGTGGGTGTATGTCAATTTACTGTTTAAGGTTTTTGCTCAAGACGACAAAGCTTTTTGAAAAAAAAAGATATACTTGCTTCAGTCTGCTTTCTCTCACTGAAGCGAGTAACTGAGACAGTTTTTAACATCGCCATGATCTTGATTAAAAATCATATGAATCTGTCTCTTTTACTGGCATTTTATTTGAAATGTTTCAAGATATTCCCTTTAGATTTAATGCTTTATATGATCTTCTCAGTAAATAAAACATTACAATCTTCTGATGTAATAATCACAGGTTTTAGTATTAACTTTGTGTCGATATACGTACCAGTAATAAATGCCACTCACAATCGTCAGCATCCACCACGAAAATGTAGGACGAACACGTTCATGTGGCTGATCATTCAGAAAACATCCAGTATAATAAAGAAAAAGACAGAGGAAAAATGGAATATACCTGAAAAAGTAAAATAACTGGTTTGAAATGCTTGTGAGAAAGGAATTAAAGACAAAGAATCAGCTATCACAGCACAGTAAAAACATATTGTTCAAGGTAATCTAAATAAATTATATATCTATACTATAGTATAAAGTGTATTTATGCTAAACAATGACATACGTACCACATTAAATGGCCTATAATTTCGTCGTAATTGTACAAAAGTACAAATGATTCAACCTGGAACCATATACAAATAGAAATATTTCAAATAAAAAATCAACCATATTTTAAAGCACAAATTTTTAACGCTTAAATAGATACATGTACATACGAGACCACGTGGTTGTAGAGATTGCATCATGGGATTGTCTCGGACTGAAAGATGTAATTTATACCCTAGTTTGACAAGTCGGTGGTTAACGGAATCTCCCACAAGATGTATACTGGCTCCCATAACAAAAATAATTACGCAGATATTTCTGAAAGTTGATGATGTTTTGGTATGACTTCTCTCAAAGAGCTGAAACATATGAAATTATCAATATAACGGTTGTCTTAACTCTATATTTAAAAATTCAGAATTATTTTAAAAATAAGAAACTTTTTCATGTTGTCCTCTCGCGATGTATAGAGATATCTACTAGTGTATAGATACTTGAATCACCTTCAGGATACAGAATGGAGTAATTAAGTTATACATCATATGAAAGTAGTCCCCAACACTGGGCAGATGCATTGGGAAGAGTTCTTCAGGAATCATCAACTGAAAAAAAAAAACAGAGAAAATTGTAAGAAAATGCTGGATTGTCTCTGTTTTTTTTAATTTATATATTTTAAAATTGCGGCGGGGGGGGGGGGGGGAGGGGGGTTATGTTTTGACTTCTTATGGTTATATACTATATACTAATAAACTATACATATGTACATGTAGTCTCTATCAACAAGGGGTAGCCCTCCCAACCCCCCAACCCCCACCCATCCCTATATACCATCTCTTTCCACATCCTTTTTTCTGCATTCCTGTCCAAATTTACTTCCCCTTTTATACCTTTCCTATTATACCCTCTTACCCCTACCCTCCTCTCTCCGGCAAGCTCAGAAAAAACATTTCCATTGCTTTACAACTCATCTGAAGTGTCCAAGAAGTTGCGATTAGTTACTTTTCTGATGCAATATGGAGATAACAAACAGTATTTAAGCTCAAAGTCCATTTAAACAATACAAATCGGGAGCAGAGCAACCATGGACCTCAAAACATCAGAGGTGGGATCATGTAGGAGTGAGCATCCCCTGCCGACCGGTCACACCCGCTGTGTGCTCCTTGTCATGATCGGGAAAACTGAAAAATCCGTACACAATTCAGTGTGTAAATAATGGCATAACAATTAATTAGTATGAAAAACGACAGACAGCATTTGACTTAATGATAGGTTGTATTTGCTGAAAAGGTCATTGTATCGACCATAAAACTTGCGAAATAATGACTTCAAACGAGACTGTTGATATCCTTATTTCATCAAATTATTTGTCAATAGCTTGCCTCGTTTTAGAAATTGTTTATACGTAGAGCATGCTCTTGCGTATCGAATCAACTGAGAGTTATACACCCCATATGCAGGTGATAAGGGTATATTGTTACATAAGTGAGGGAATTTGACGATTGAAAAATTGAAGTCATCACGTTTATCATAAAGCTTTGTTGTTAGGTTACCATTAGGTTAAAGTTTTTTTTCTAGTTAAATATCCAAATATGAAACAGATGTGTCAGACTCTGTGGTATCTTTTATTTCAAGCTCACTGGGATATATCGGGTCGACATATGAATGGAAGTAATTATTATTAGATAATACGTCGTCGATATAAATCTAAATGTTAGTTGAATGTTCCATGTTACTACAGTATGGAAGAAACATACAGCGGCAATTGGTCTCCCGAAGTCAAATATCCAGTTCTGTAGAGTCATCAGGAGCCATAAATCCCAGTGAAAACTTTCCAATGAACGTCTAGGTTTCATGTCACTGGAATTTTAAAACATACTTGATTTACTGTCCATATACATAATTATGCATTTACATATGATCATCCATGTACATTCCTATTTCTAAAGAAGTAAGTTTTGCATTCAGTGTAGTGTCATTCACTATCTCCAAACCAGTTTTACGTCTTGCATTGAACATTAAAAAAAAAAAACTTTTTTACCATATTATGTGATAGGTGATTTTTATGCATAGCAAATTTGAATTAACAGTGGCAGTAAAGCATCGCCGTATGTATTATACTTTTACTTTAAGAAAGTTTCGTTGTTATGTGCACTATGAACATTGAAAGCCATTACCCTGCATAGTATAAGGAAAAAATCCTCATGCATTCATCGACAGAAATTAAAATTGCAGCAAATTTGATTATGGAATCCCAATTCAAATTAAAGAAGACGCATGCAAGATATATAAAATGTTTATTGTGCAGAAATCAATCCACTGAAATGTCATCCTCATAATTCAGCTCAGTTAGTCAAAATACACGGCTATTTGGTTAGAAAAATCATTACAAAGCTAAATTGGGAGAAAAAAACAAAATGCGAATAATCAAACATGCCACATGATACATCCCCGTACCCCCACCTGTTACATTACCGAGCATCGGATAATCAAGCGTCATCGTAGGCTGTGTCCGGTTCACTGGAAAAACCGTAAACATTGTAATTCTAAATTAACAGGTATATGTAATTCTAGCTGTCAAGTGCAACATTCGGTACATAGTTTTAAGTATTCAGATTGTTATATGAAAATGCTCTGCAAATGATGGGTCAACATAGATTTACATGTATTTGATTTGTCAACCCGCGACAAGCATGATATACGATCATAAAATGAAACTAATAAATCTGAAGATTTTCTATTTCTTTTTTCGGGTCTTTTTTTTTTTAAACTTCCCTGACATTGTTAGATTATGTAATTATATAGTTTTTAGCTCACCTGAGCTGAAAGCTCAAGTGAGCTTTTCTGATCACATTTTGTCCGTAGTCCGTCTGTCCGTCCGTCCTTCCGTCTGTAAACTTTTCACATTTTCGACTTCTTCTCCAGAACCACTGGGCCAATTTCAACCAAACTTGCCACAAAGCATCCTTGGGTGAAGGGGGTTCAAGTTTGTTCAAATGAAGGGCCATGCCCTCTTCCAAGGGGAGATAATTAAGAATAAGTGAAAATTTGGTGTCTTCTTTTAAAAATCTTCTTCTCAAGAACCACAGGGCCAGAAAAGTTGAAACTTAAGGGAAACCTTCGTTACATAGTGTAGATTCAAGTTTGTTCAAATCATGACCCCCGGGGGTAGGGTGGGGCCACAATGGGGGATCAAAGTTTTACATAGGAATACATAGGAAAATTCTTTAAAAATCTTCTTCTCAAGAACAACAAAGCCACAATTAGTAATATTGATATGAAATCATCCTCAGGTAGTGTAGATTTAAATTTGTTCAAATCATGACCCCTGGGGGTAGGGTGGGGCCACAATGGGGGATCAAAGTTTTACATAGGAATACATAGGAAAATTCTTTAAAAATCTTCTTCTCAAGAACAACAAAGCCACAATTAGTCATATTGATATGAAATCATCCTCAGGTAGTGTAGATTTAAATTTGTTCAAATCATGACCCCTGGGGGTAGGGTGGGGCCACAATGGGGGATCAAAGTTTTACATAGGAATATAGGAAAATTCTTTAAAAATCTTCTTCTCAAGAACAACAAAGCCACAATTAGTAATATTGATATGAAATCATCCTCAGGTAGTGTAGATTCAAGTTTGTCCAAATCATGACCCCTGGGGGTAGGGTGGGGCCACAATGGGGGATCAAAGTTTTACATAGGAATATATAGGAAAATTCTTTAAAAATCTTCTTCTCAAGAACAACAAAGCCACAATTAGTCATATTGATATGAAATCATCCTCAGAGTAGTGTAGATTTAAGTTTGTTCAAATCATGACCCCGGGGGTAGGGTGGGTCCACAATAGGAGATCAAAGTTTTACATAGGAATACATAGGAAAATTCTTTAAAAATCTTCTTCTCAAGAACAACAAAGCCACAATTAGTCATATTGATATGAAATCATCCTCAGGTAGTGTAGATTTAAATTTGTTCAAATCAAGACCCCCGGGGGTAGGGTGGGTCCACAATGGGGGGATCAAAGTTTTACATAGGAATATATAGGAAAATTCTTTAAAAATCTTCTTCTCAAGAACAACAAAGCCACAATTAGTCATTTTGATATGGAATCATCCTCAGGTAATGTAGATTCAAGTTTGTTCAAATCATGACCCCCGGGGGTAGGGTGGGGCCACAATGGGGGATCAAAGTTTTACATAGGAATATATAGGAAAATTCTTTAAAAATCTTCTTCTCAAGAACAACAAAGCCACAATTAGTCATATTGATATGGAATCATCCTTAGATAGTGTAGATTCAAATTTGTCGAAATCAAGACCCCCAGGGGTAGGGTGGGGCCACAATGGGGGATCAAAGTTTTACATAGGAATAAATAGGAAAAATCTTTTCAAGAACAGGAAAGCCGTGATTAGTCATTTTGATATTGAAGCATCCCCAAGTATTGTAGATTCAAGTTTGTTCAAGGCATCCTCCAGTAGTAGGGTGGGGCCATAATCGGGGATCAAAGTTTAACAAAAGAATATATATAAGAAATATCTTAAAAAATCTTTTTCTCAAGAACAACAAAGCCATAATTAGTCATATTGATATGGAAGCATCCTTAGGTAGTGTAGATTCAAGTTTGTTCAAATCATGACCCCCGGGGGTAGGGTGGGGCCACAATGGGGGATCAAAGTTTTACATAGGAATATATAGGAAAATTCTTTAAAAATCTTCTTCTCAAGAACAACAAAGCCACAATTAGTCATATTGATATGGAATCATCCTTAGATAGTGTAGATTCAAATTTGTCGAAATCAAAACCCCCAGGGGTAGGGTGGGGCCACAATGGGGGATCAAAGTTTTACATAGGAATAAATAGGAAAAATCTTTTCAAGAACAGGAAAGCCGTGATTAGTCATTTTGATATTGAAGCATCCCCAAGTATTGTAGATTCAAGTTTGTTCAAGGCATCCTCCAGTAGTAGGGTGGGGCCATAATCGGGGATCAAAGTTTAACAAAAGAATATATATAAGAAGTATCTTTAAAAATCTTCTTCTCAAGAACAACAAAGCCATATTAGTCATATTGATATGGAAGCATCCTTAGGTAGAGTAGATTCAAGTTTGTTCAAATCTTGAACCCCCCTCCCTTCCTACCCCCCCCCCCAGGGTAGGATGGCAGACATCTTTAAAATTCCTTTTCAAGAATAGCAAAACCATGATTAGTTATATGAATATAGAAGCATCCCCAGAAAGTTTAGATTCAATTTCATTCAAAACATGGCAACTGGGGATAGGTTATGCCTAGAACAGTTGATCAAAGCTTTACGTATGAATATATAGAAGAAGAAATCTGCTGACAAAGAACAGCAGGGCCATATTGACTCAGGTGAGCGTTGTGGCCCATGGGCCTCTTGTTTAAATGTTGCAAGGATTGCCAAAGGCTAATGATAATATAAAAAGGATCAATGCCGATGAATGAAAATCGTCACTTCAACAACTTCTAGTAAGTAGAAGTTGAACGAGTTGTTAATGTTATATTTCAGAGAGAGAGAGAGAGGCTGAATTGGGGTTCTGGGTGTAAAACAAACACTATTGAAAAATCCCTCTTGAAGTAAAGATAGCATGTAAAATCTAGTAAATGCTTTATATATATTAATCAAGAACAGACTATTTCAGATTTGGAAACTCGAAGCTATAATTACTACATGTATGCAACGTCAGCATTTGGGAACACATGGCGCAATGTCTACAAAAGGTTGTTATCTGTCAAGGATCCACTTTCTGCCAACATGTTACACGTATTGTATACAAATCCAGAGGACACCACATATCATTAATGATAAATATATGTAATTGTTTATCAAAAGTGGATTTAAATAAAAGATAACATTATGTGACTGTTACTAAAAATAGGCCTAGTTCATTTTAGGAAACGTTAAACATGAGAAGAGTATTAGTGTAGTATTAGAGTCACAACCCTATTTCAGTGGTCCCTTGTTATGAATATTTATAAATTTAGTGATCCAGTATTTCGTGGATGTTTGTAAACACAGCCCTCTCCTCCCCCTCACTCACCGTGCATCCTCAATCATAAGCTCCTCTAGGTCCTCATTCCGTCCCCTCCGTCGGACGCTGTTTTCAAAACTAGTAGCCATGATTGTTCCTTAATTCAAGACTTGTACACGTCACAAAACAATGTCTGAATTCGAGATACTACACAATCTAACATGGCCATGTTATATTTACTCAAACTGATATTTAGTGTTATCATAACCCAAGGCTCATTTGCGTGATTTACACCTGTGAAAATGTTTTCTAAACTTTTATTATCTTTCTCTAGTTTACCAAATGCCAGAAGAACATGCATGCACATCGTAAATTAATATCGTGCAACGTACAGTCTTTATATTATACTGCAATTGGTATTTTAGCCTTGTCGAGAGGGTAAGAAATAGATGTCCATGTAGTCATTCAGGAAACCTTCTTGAGATTACCCGGTATTCTCATCCACTTAACTAGCGGACTGCATATAACATATGTTTAATTAAATGATCTACTGTAAACAAGTTGTTGAAAGTCTTTTGAGTGAAGAAAGCCGGACTTTGTTAAAGATATAGCGGTAATTTTGTACATTGTATTCAGTCATTCTACGATAAATGGACCAATTCAGAGTAAAAAACATGAAAAAAATAATTGTTTCAAATAGCAAAATGAACATCATAATTCTCTAAAGGACCTATCAGTGAACTTGAAAACAAAAAATTGTCCACAAATCTGGTATCGTTAACTTTTTACAGCAATTTCAAGATACCATTGATTTTAAGGTAATGTTACGGAAGTTAATGCTTGATCAAGCCTTATTATTTTTTAAATAAAGCTGAATTTGACCAATTTTTCGTTTCTGATGTTCAGTAAAGAACGCTAAAGTATGATTCATGAAGTCTCGCATGAATCCGAATTTAAATTAAATTTTCGGGAAAAGTATCATTACGGAAGTTAATCGTTACGGAAGTTAATTCCCAGCAATAAAAGTTAAAATTCTCTTTAATAGTTAAAATCAAAGTTTGTTTTGGGATATTAAACAAAAGTATGAAGCATTTCGCTCCCAAAATAATCAAAAAGTGTATACCTTAAATGCAAAAACTTTCCTGCATTACCGTTACGGAAGTTAAATTCTTAAGAGAGACAACTGTTTTTGTTTAATTCATTTTGTTATATCGAAAATGTAATCGTGTAAAATTGCTGACTCACAACTAGAATCGATGATATAATGTTCCGTGGTCACTTTCAGATAAGTTTCAGTTCTTTTTGAAATCTGCATTCTATGCGTGAAATTTAAAACAAAATCGTTACGGAAGTTAATCGATTTTAAGCGACATGCTTATAAATTCGCATGAAAGGAGATCTATGCATTTCTTTGCGAGAAGTGGTTTGATTTCTTTTTATATAGGATAAAAGACATTTTTTAACATTCATGGCACTCTATTCGGAACGATTTTACGGCTGAAAATTTCATCTTGAAATTTGTATATAAATGAAGCGACATTAAGATTTGCAATGGAATACGTTTTTCAACATTACATTATGTTCATATCAAAACTTTAACTGCATATATATCGGTGAATATTTACAAAACCATGTGTGTATTTTAAGTCTTATAGTTGAAATGGACCTTTAAATTTATAATTAAGATATTACAACGGTTAATTTGCAAGCGACATAAAAAATTCTTAATTGGTCATGTTTTTGTAGAATGACTGATTATGTAATCATTTAAAAGAATCAAAAACAAGACGAAGCAAGAATAAAACAGAAATAAACAAAACAAAAATCCTACCGCCAAAATTACAAAATATGAAATAAACATTATTATTATAAATTTCATAAAGAAGGAGAGATAAAAAACTTCAAAAACGAAGTAAAACTTGTCATGTGGTTTGTAGATGAGTAAAAAATATTTTCATAACACATGGAATTTTCATTGTACTAAATTAAATTTGTTTATATTAAATTATAAATTAAGAGATTACCTGTATACTTCCTGGTGGAATGAAAAAGGTGAAGATAACGAACAGTGATCGATCTAAAAAAAAAATCTACAAAAAAATACAAATCTATGAACACAGCATAAAACATAGACCCCCGGAAATCCCAGAGGTGGGATCAGGTGTCAAGGAGTGAGCTCGCCCTATTGACCAGTCACACCTGCCGTGAGCCCTATGTATTGATCAGGTAGACGGAATATCCGTAGTCAGTTTAAGTATAAAAAAAAGGTCTAACAATTGGTATGAAACAAGTCAGCCAAAAATACGACTCAATGAAAGGTTATATTTGCGAATAAGTTCATTATAAGTTCAACAAGTTCAACGAGGTTGTTGAAATCCCTGTAACATCAACTTATCTGTCAGTAATCTGCCTTGGTTTAAAAATTGATCATACTTAGAGCGAGCATGCTCTTGAGTATCGAATAAGTTGGGAGACATAAACACCATATGCAGGTGATAGAATATTACTACATGAATAAGGAAAGTTGACGTTAAAAAAGCCGAAGTCATCTCGTTTGTCATATTTAGTTGTTAATTGGCCATTATCGCCTATAGTCAGTAAAACATCCAAATATGAAACAGATGTGACAAAACCTGGGATGTCTTTAATTTCAAGTTCACTGGGATATATCGAGTCGACATATGAATGGAAGTAACTATTGTTAATTGATAAAACGCCATCGATATAGAGTCTATCCGAATGTCGAGTTGAAGGCAACAGCAAGTGTTTTTGTCTTCTCATGAAGAAGTTTTTGAATGAATTCTACTTCATGAAAATATAAAAACAGGTCGGCTTAAAATGGAGCACCATTTGTACCCATTGCAATTCCAACAGTGATTTTTAACAAAGTAATTTTGTTGATGACCAGTCACAATTAAGATATAAACAGTCATTCTACAAAACCATGACCAATTAAAAAATTTTCATGTCGCTTACAAATTTACCGTTGTAATATCTTAACTATAAATTTAAAGGTCGATTTCAACTCGAAGACTTAACAAACATACATGGTTTCGTGAATATTTACCGATATATATGCAGTTAAAGTTTTGATATGAACATAAGATAATGTTGAAAAACGCATTCCACTGCAAATCTTGGTGTCGCCTCATTTATTTACAAATTTCAACATGAAATGTTCAGCCGTAAAATTGTTCCGAATAGATTGCAATGAATGTTAAAAAAAAAGTTTTTTATCCTACATAAAAAGAAATCAAACCGCAAAGAAATGCATGGATCTCCTTTCATGCGAAATCATAGCATGTCGCTTAAAATCGATTAAGCTTAACTTCCGTAACGATTTTGTTTTAAATTTCACGCATAGAATGCAGATTTAAAAAAGAACTGAAACTTATCTGAAAGTGACCACGGAACTTTATATTATCGATTCTAGCTGCGAGTCAGCTATTTTAGACGGTTGCATTTTCGACATAACAAATTAAATGATTCATACTTTGTTTAATATCCTAAAAAAAAAAAACTTTAATTTTAACTATAATGAAGATAATTTTAACTTTTATTGCTGGGATTTAACTTCCGTAACGATATTTTTCCCGAAAATTTAATTTAAATTCGGATTCATGCGAGACTTCATGAATAAGACTTCATAGTTCTTTACTGAACATCAGAAACGAAAAATTGGTCAAATTCAACCTTATTTAAAAAATAATAAGGCTTGATCAAGCATTAACATTACCTTAAAATCAATGGTATCTTGAAATTGATGTAAAAAGTTAACGATACCAGATTTGTGGACAATTCTTTGTTTTCGAGTTCACTTTAGAGAATTACGGTATGATATTCATTTTGCTATTTGAAACTATTATTTTTTTCATGTATTATACTTTGAATTGGTCCATTTATCGTAGAATGACTGATAAAAATTTCCGAGTTCATTTTTTATTGAACTTAGAAATAGTTGTCTATGATATTAAAAAGCCTAGTTTTTTAATTTATCGTGAGTAATGGTTGTATAAAGTGTAGAAAAGTCGTATGTTTTGATGTAACTGACTCTTGAAAAAAATTGGTGATTTCTAAATTTTCTAAAAGTTCTTTGGAGTTTTTGAGAATCCCAGCACATCTGATTTACACCACTTCCAGAATATGCTGTAGCACAGTACGTCTGAAGTTTCTTACATCAGTAAAATATTTTTGTAAGGAGTAAAGGGGCCTGGGTCCATCTTCCGATGGATTCTCCTTCATTGGCTGTTTTCAGTTCTGTCCACTATGTACATGTACAGCCTCAGTTTGTCGACCAGAGTGAATCAAGTCCCAGCCCGAAACAACGCCGCTCTCCAATAGGATCATCATTACCATTATCTCAGTAACTGTCTTTCCACTTGTCTGACCTCCTTCACAGCTACATGGTCGCTACACAAACTTTCTGTCAGTCTCCTTTTTTCTGCTCTAAACAATTATCTTAACATGGACCCTCGGCCCTCCACAAAAATTCTACATCTCTCTAGTTTTCCATCGATGCAGTTGACATTAAAGTGGTATCGATTTTTTTAAAGAAAAAGTTTACTTAAAATAAAAACACCTTTTTAAGCATAGGTATTACTTTTTAAAAAGTATTTGCTTAAAACCGGTGTCTGTAGAAAAAAGCCAATCTTTGCATCGGGTTCGAAATTGCCTCTCAAAATGAAAGTAGTGACGTCAAAGTCCTGTAAGACGTGCAGCAACAACAGACGAGAGTCGCTTCAGTCGGAGAGGAAAATCCTAGTTTTACAACACTTCTGCGAATTGTTGTATATGAGGATTTATTGACAGCGTAAAAAAATTGGAATATTTCTTTTTGTTGAAATCCCTTAGTAAAAATGAGGATACGCAATAACTTTTTAACGGTACAGCTGTTGACATTAGTCTGTGAAAGCGTTGCTGTAGGTTTTACTGTCGATCAGTTTAATCATGCTAAATTAATAAAAAAGGAAGATCTTCCGGGATTTAAGCAAAGTAAAACAGTTAGCGTTTTATACTATTACAAGGAAGGTAAGTGTCAACAGTCTTGCTAGTTATATTTTTCGACTACGGTGAAGTCATTCTTGAGTTGACACAGGTGATTTAAAGATATCCCGATATGTGAATGAAAATCCATTTGAATGTTCTTTGTCATTGTATTTCTTAATGAATTTAACAGTCATGAGGTTATGAAATTTTGAATTTAAAACTAAAAACTAAAATTCAGATATAGTTAATCTGATAAATTGTTATACATACATTTTTTAAAGTAATCTTTATATGCATGAAATAAGGTAGTTTTTAAAGTAATTCAGCCAAAAAATAAATATGAAATAGTATCCTGTTTGTTTAATTGAAAGTGGGTGTTGGAGTAAATGCTTTTAAATCTTTAAAATATTTATATTTCTTCTTAAGCTTATTTGGCAGATTTAATATAATTATTTGAAATCAAAAGTGAAAGCCATGTGTGGACATCTTTACTTCTTGGTTGTAATTTGGTCGCCCAACCATATATGTCTGTGAAAATAATTAATGGGGAAATGCGTTTATTTATCAGCAATGCATTTTGTTAAGCCATTAAGCACTTTACCAGTTTTCCATTAATTTAAAACTGTATGCAATTTCTATTATGATAATATTAGAAACATGAGTATTTATACTCAGATTTCCTTGAGAGAGTTCAGAGGTGTTTTTCATCTCTATCTGTCCAACCATCCATCTTTGATACTTTCTTCATTCCCAATTATCTACAAATAGAGGTCACCAATGTTAACCAGTGATTGCATTTGTGGATGTATGTACCAGACTTGCTTGAGGTGCTGCCTGTGACTTTATTTACTGGATGATGGTAAGTAAGGAGAATAAGTTATGATTTCCAACATTGACAAGACTTGTTACAGCTTGGAATGGATATGGCTAATCAAGCTGCTGCAGATATCAGTTATCTAGATACATCTAGATATATGCTATTAAATGAGAAAGTTATTGGAGCAGGTCAATATATCCAAATTGATATTATGACCAATTTTGCATTGGTGATGCAGGTGCTATGATTTTTAGCTCACCTAACTCAGTGGCTCAATTTCAACAAAAAATGGTGCAAAGAATGCTATGTGCAGCTCAATAGCTAGGTTCACATTATGCATAAAATGGCCCTGTAGATAAATTAATTTATTGGCTAACACCTTATGTCCCATTTTTAACATCAATATATAGTAGAAGCCTGGTGTTTCCATTTCCTATCATAAAGTTTCCTGTAAGTGTCCAGGCATTAGAAAATGGGCTGGGAAATTGAATTTTCTTGAATTTTGAAGAAAAGGGTATTTGTGTACCGTACCTTCAGGAGAGAATTAAAATATGAGTACACCCCTCGATCCAAAAAATAAAAAAAAATGATTTATAATTTTCAAAAACATTTCTTTCTTTAAAGTGAACCTTGCTCTTTAAGGACATTGGCAAGGTTCCTGGTTATTGTATAGAATTTTTCAAGAACTTTTGAGTAGGTTTAAATGTACTAAATAGGCTATATTCTGAATCGTTTTACCTACTGATCCAGCATTCTTTTTTAGATTTTGTCAAATTAGTGTTTTTACAATTCTTAATGCATTTCCTATGTAAAATGTTGATAAAAGGGACCTACATAGTTTTTCACCATAATATTTCTTCAAAACCCATTTATTTCATACAGTTTTTGTATTATATACATTATTGTAACTTCATTTCCTATGACTTCTAGATATTTTGGTTGAAAATGTATATATAGAAAAAAGACATGGATATACCGGCACCGATCATCATTTTTGAGTTGCGTCCCTTAACGGCTAAAATTGGTCAAGTGACTGCAGCTTGTTGATTGTTTTTATCATGTAATTGACCGAATTGATTGAAATACATTGTCATAAAAATATTGGCATGGATTTATTTTTAACTTTTATTCGTAATTACTAAATGCTGATTCCTTCACACGACCTAAGAACTGTTCTCAGTAGGCATGGTCTACCTATACCTTTCAGCATATGTCACATCTTTGCCCTTCCCAGCATACTGAGCATAACTATGGTACAGTGCAGGAAACTAATTTTGTTACAGCATCGATGCTGATTTGAATGCTTCCTTTGCTTGCTGATTTGAATGCTTCCTTTGCTTGCTGATTTAATGCTAGTAATCCTTATCTTGATGCTGTTTTATAATTAGGTCAATGCTACCGGAAGTAGCATCATGCTACCGGAAGTAGATAATGAATTTCAGCATTGCCGTTTAAAGCAATAAAAGTGCCTTTTACAATTATTTGATCATAATATCTCACTGTGTATCAATAATGTGAATACTTTAACCAATATTCTTTCTTTCTTTTTTAATTTTTTACTGAATTAAAACTCATTGATTTTCTGATGCTAGTAGGATAATGCTGATTTTATGTAGGTCAATGCTGGTTTTATCCTTTGCTTGCTGATACTGATCCTGGTAATGCTGTTTTTTAAATGCTGATGCTGATGCTAGCTCGATCCTGATGCTACTAATGCTTATACTGATGCTGGTTTATGTAACAAAATTAGTTCCCTGCACTGTAAATGACGACCTGTTTGCTCTTTGTCTCTGAATACAATGTACAACAAAGCCATTACTACTTTTCTTTCTTGCTGTATAGAAGATTCTACCCGTTGAAGGAAGTACACTTGCTTTTGTTTACCTCTATAACATACGCTTTACTGGTTTTCACCGCTTAGAGAATTCTACACGGGAGATCACTCTCAATCACTATTTTACAAGTGAAAAAACCCATGTATTAAACCTTTTTTCTCCGGAAAGCCCTGACTTGCCAATTTCCTTAAGTGAAAGGGTTAGGCTATGGTCCTTTCCAGTGGGAGATAATAAATGAAAGGCAGAATAGTGGGTCTTTTAAAAGTATTCTTCTCAAGAACCAGTGTCTGTTTCTGTGTCAGAAAAGCAATTGGAAAATTGAAATTAGCCCAATAAGGTTCATATGTGTTCAAATCATGGCCCCTTTGGCTAGAGTGGAGCTAAAATAAGTATTCAAAAATTTTTATTGGAGTACTTAGGACATAAAAAAGTAGCTGGGCATTGCTAAGTCATTTTGATTTGCAACCATTGCCATAGCTGATTATTTGATTTTTTTTCAATTTGTGGACACCGGCCAATGCAAACTTATTTTGGATGGCAGGATTTTTAGAGTTATTAAAGGGGGAGTTTCGATAAGGCCGCTTATCGGCCCAATTATTTTCATAAAAATAAATTTCGTTTTATTTTTTCAAAATTGGTTTAGAATTCAAGATATATATGTTAATTTTTAGCTCTACTGGTCAGAGACCAGAAGAGCTTATGCGATAGTAAGGTGTCCGTCGTCCGTCCGTCTGTCTGTCTGTCTGTCTGTCTGTCTGTCTGTCCGTCTGTCTGTAAACAATTTTTCAAAACGCTACTCCTCCTACAGTTTTGGTCCGATTTCAATATAACTTGGCACACAAGTAGACTACACTAAGATACATAATTTAGTGCATCGGTTTTTGATTTCGATGGACGGTGTTGCCATGGTTACTAAAAATAGAAATTTCTGTGAAATTCCTTTAAAACGCTACTCCTCCTACAGTTTTGGTCCGATTTCAATATAACTTGGCACACAAGTAGACTACACTAAGATACATAATTTAGTGCATCGGTTTTTGATTTCGATAGACGGTGTTGCCATGGTTACTAAAATAGAAATTTCTGTGAAATTCCTTTAAAACGCTACTCCTCCTACAGTTTTGGTCCGATTTCAATATAACTTGGCACACAAGTAGACTACACTAAGATACATAATTTAGTGCATCGGTTTTTGATTTCGATGGACGGTGTTGCCATGGTTACTAAAAATAGAAATTTCTGTGAAATTCCTTTAAAACGCTACTCCTCCTACAGTTTTGGTCCGATTTCAATATAACTTGGCACACAAGTAGACTACACTAAGATACATAATTTAGTGCATCGGTTTTTGATTTCGATAGACGGTGTTGCCATGGTTACTAAAATAGAAATTTCTGTGAAATTCCTTTAAAACGCTACTCCTCCTACAGTTTTGGTCCGATTTCAATATAACTTGGCACACAAGTAGACTACACTAAGATACATAATTTAGTGCATCGGTTTTTGATTTCGATGGACGGTGTTGCCATGGTTACTAAAAATAGAAATTTCTGTGAAATTCCTTTAAAACGCTACTCCTCCTACAGTTTTGGTCCGATTTCAATATAACTTGGCACACAAGTAGACTACACTAAGATACATAATTTAGTGCATCGGTTTTTGATTTCGATGGACGGTGTTGCCATGGTTACTAAAAATAGAAATTTCTGTGAAATTCCTTTAAAACGCTACTCCTCCTACAGTTTTGGTCCGATTTCAATATAACTTGGCACACAAGTAGACTACACTAAGATACATAATTTAGTGCATCGGTTTTTGATTTCGATAGACGGTGTTGCCATGGTTACTAAAAATAGAAATTTCTGTGAAATTCCTTTAAAACGCTACTCCTCCTACAGTTTTGGTCCGATTTCAATATAACTTGGCACACAAGTAGACTACACTAAGATACATAATTTAGTGCATCGGTTTTTGATTTCGATGGACGGTGTTGCCATGGTTACTAAAAATAGAAATTTCTGTGAAATTCCTTTAAAACGCTACTCCTCCTACAGTTTTGGTCCGATTTCAATATAACTTGGCACACAAGTAGACTACACTAAGATACATAATTTAGTGCATCGGTTTTTGATTTCGATGGACGGTGTTGCCATGGTTACTAAAAATAGAAATTTCTGTGAAATTCCTTTAAAACGCTACTCCTCCTACAGTTTTGGTCCGATTTCAATATAACTTGGCACACAAGTAGACTACACTAAGATACATAATTTAGTGCATCGGTTTTTGATTTCGATGGACGGTGTTGCCATGGTTACTAAAAATAGAAATTTCTGTGAAATTCTTTTAAAACGCTACTCCTCCTACAGTTTTGGTCCGATTTCAATATAACT